TCCCTCTTAGCCTGATCATATTAGCGAATCCTTCTCCTCTCTCTTTCGACCTGATTTCATTTTTCCCTGTATGTTTATCGGATTTGTCTCGTCTTTGCTGGTTTCATTTTGCTGGGGCACGAATCTGATCGTCTTTATTGTATCGTTATTTGAATTGGGTTTTATCCAGATTTGTTCATAAGATCAAAATATTTCTAAAGCCCTGTTTTTTTCTCAGATTCAGGAAACCCTAGATCGATATGAGTACTCAGGGGACGGGACCTTCTTCAACATCAGGGAGGAGAAGCACTTCCAGCGTACGGCGAGGACCAACAGCTTCCAAGAAACCAATCCAATCAGATAACGGAAATGTCAATGGGAACACCTCAAAACCCAATTCACCTCCTTCTCAACCTCCTTCTTCTAATGGGGAGAGAACAGTTAAGAAGCTTCGGTTATCGAAAGCTCTTACTATTCCTGAAGCTACCACTGTCTTTGATGCTTGTCGAAGGATGGCTGCTCGGCGTGTTGATGCGGTTCTGTTGACTGATTCAAGTGCTCTTTTATCCGGGATTGTTACCGATAAAGATATAGCTACGAGAGTGATTGCAGAAGGTTTGAGACCGGATCAGACTTTGGTCTCTAAGGTTATGACTAGGAATCCTATTTTCGTCACGTCTGATTCTTTGGCTATTGAGGCTCTTCAGAAGATGGTTCAAGGGAAATTCAGGCATTTACCTGTTGTGGAGAACGGCGAAGTCATTGCTTTGTTGGATATCACAAAGTGTCTATACGATGCCATTTCGAGGATGGAGAAAGCTGCAGAGCAAGGCAGTGCTTTAGCAGCTGCAGTGGAAGGTGTGGAGAAGCAATGGGGAGCCGGATATTCTGCGCCGTATGCTTTCATTGAGACATTGAGGGATAGGATGTTTAAGCCCGCATTGTCAACGATAATCACTGATAATTCAAAAGTTGCGCTTGTGGCACCATCAGATCCTGTCTATGTTGCTGCAAAAAGGATGCGGGATTTGCGGGTTAACTCTGTAATCATTTCCATGGGAACCAAGATCCAGGGAATCTTGACTTCAAAGGACATTCTGATGCGAGTCGTGGCTCAAAATTTGTCTCCTGAGTTGACTCTTGTCGAGAAGGTAATGACACCGAATCCTGAATGTGTATCGCTAGACACGACGATTCTTGATGCTTTGCATATAATGCATGATGGGAAGTTTCTACATCTCCCAATTATGGATAAAGACGGATCCGCCGTAGCTTGTGTTGATGTTCTCCAGATAACTCACGCAGCGATTTCAATGGTTGAGAACAGTTCTGGAGCTGTGAACGATATGGCAAACACGATGATGCAGAAATTCTGGGATTCAGCTCTTGCTTTAGAGCCACCTGATGATTCCGACACCCAGAGCGAAATGTCGGCAATGATGCATCATTCAGATATTGGGAAGCTCGCTTCTTACCCATCTCTAGGACTTGGGAATTCGTTCTCCTTCAAATTTGAAGATCTTAAGGGCCGCGTACATCGGTTTACTTCCGCAGCTGAAAACCTCGAAGAGCTGATGGGTATTGTGATGCAAAGAATTGGCAGCGACAACACCAACCCGGAACAACGGCCTCAGATTATATATGAAGATGATGAAGGTGATAAGGTTTTGATTACATCGGATAGCGATTTGGTTGGTGCTGTCACTCTTGCTAGGTCTTCAGGACAAAAGGTTTTGAGGCTGCATCTAGACCTTACCGAGACAACAAGGAGATTGAGCTCGGAAACGGGTCAACTCAAGAAATCGGATTCGGTGGAACGAGGAGGAGGCGGATTGGTTTCGTGGCGTGGCAGTGCTGTGGTTACAGGAGCTGTTGTTCTAACGAGCATAGCTGTAGTTGTTTACTTGAAACGTTCAAACACCTGATTTTTGCTGAAGCAAAAGTATTTGGGTGGCAAAAGAAAAGTCTTTCTTTTCTTTCTTTTTGGTAAGTTTCATATAATTTGTCTCTTTTGTCTTTTGGGTTTACATGTTTTGCGGATGCAAAAGAGAAAACTTTATTCATTCCCTAAGATATTAAACTTATGGGGAAAAAATCTCTATTTAAAAGAGAGATTATAAATTGACAGTGTTTATATAGAAAACCTCTGAAACCGATAAAAATAAAACCAGTGAATGTTGTTGCACTGCAAATTTGTGGCATTTGATGTATTCAGATACATTTGCTTCGTTCTTGTAAATTGAGGCATACTGTTGTTACTTACCCAGAGATTGTTGTGTGGATATGAGGAAGAAATCGAAGTGTGATCGATCCATCAACGTCCTCCAGAGGATTTGTGGTTAAGTTTTTGTCTATTACATGAGAGAATTGTGGTGTGGTTTGATTGCATTATTGAAGCAAAATCAACAAAGAGATCACAATCTCGACGAGGATGG